AACCCTTATGGTCACAACCCAACTTCTGGACAGAGTCTGGGGTTGAGGTGCTGTACTAGCTGGACACCTTTCAGCCAATTATAAAACCACCTAACCTTACAGCATGCCTGTCTAAGAAGGAGTAGTTTCCTCAATAAAACCCCCAAGCCCTGATAATTGTCTGCATTTTTGTTAGATCAAGCCATAAAAGGATATGCATCTGGTGACACAAGGAAAACTGCACAATGCAACAATCACAGGTTATACATCCTATTAGGGACATAAACTTGAAGCTACAGTTATCACAACAAAAGCAAAACCAAATAGAATGGAGAAAATAAACTACTACTCTACTTTGCATATTCACAGCTGCTTGGGTTGACCTTTACTGGCTGCTCCTTTGTTCTACTCAGGTCTCCAGGCACATGTTTCTAAATTACCTGAATTACTGTTAGAAAAACAGGGAAGGGAGTCTAACTCAATTTAGAAAAGAAGCAAGGAGGAGGCCCATAAGATCCCAGAAATTGGAGGCTTTATTAGCTCTTATCTACAAGGATGAGATTTCCAGGTGTTCAGGAAGTAAGTTAAAAAAAAGAAAATGGCAAACAAATATGCCAGAGCCACGTGACTAACATACATGACCAACCAAAATGTCTGAAAAATACGGTAGATCTATGTGACTGATCTATACAACCAGAATGGCCACCAGACATGGCAGAACCATGTGACTAACTGACATGAGGAACAGAAAGGGCTGCCAAACATGGCAAAAAGTGGAGTGGGATGAAATAAGGCTCTGAGAAAGCGACTAAGGATAGCAAGAGATAAAAGGCCATCTATGGGAGCAGCACAGATGAGACTTGGAGCACAAAAAAGGGTAAACTAGGGTAGGCGGCTACTCAAGCAGGAGACCAAGTTACCAAATAGCTATTTTTCCCCGAAAGAGTGAGAAAACTGAGCAAAGTATCAAGGAGAACAGAAATGTGAGGACAAAAAGGCATACTAAACTAGCTCGCACACGTGGAACTTGAATGATCTATTCTGCAACTGGTCAGTAACAGGCTCTCTGGCAGCTCTTAACCAACTCGTACCAGCAATGAGTGGCCAAAATGGGAAAGAGAAGAAAGAAAAGGAGAGATAAACTTGAGGCAGACCTGTGGGCCTCTCTTATCAACTTGGAAAAACACAGAGGCCATGAACTTCCCCTCTCCAGTCCCACATGGAGGGATACACTAGAAAACTGTCCCTTGAGCCACGAAAAAATTTCCTGAGTTCCCCAGCTTCCATTAATTTTTATCATCCTCTAGCTCCCATCCTCTCTCTGACAGCCAACATCTGAAAAAGAAGTTAAAAGATTTGAGCCTCTGACAGAGGAAAGACTGTCTTGGGAGAGAAGGGACAAGAATGGAGTTGGGACTTTCCTAAGGGAGTAAAAGAGGGGGGAACAAAATTAAACCAGTCCTTCTTAGCTTGAGTCCACAGATTTCAGAGAACATAAACAATTCTTTGCCCAAAGGCCTTACCTCCTAGCTGGCTGCACCAAAATATGTTACCAGGTTTTGGAGTTCTGGATTCTAGAGGTGTTTTCTAAGTTCTTTCAAAGAATTAGTCAAAATAGGTGGAAAACGTAGAGGTTTTACATTTACTAAAGGTAGGAAAAGAAACATGTTCTGCAGAGCAAGTGTGGACCAAAAAAAGTAGGAAAAGAAGTACACTCTGCAGAGTGAGAGGAGACCGCTGTGAAAGAGAGAGCACAGTGGCCAAGAGTTCAAAGGTGGCCATCTTTTGTATCCTCCACTCCTTAGGCTGATGTGTAAGACCGAGGGCCTTACCAAACGCTCCAAGGAGCTGACTAGTGAAGCACACCCAGGAATCCCAGCAGTGCCTTCAGAATGTAAGACCAAGAGCCTTACCAAACGCTCCAAGGAGCTGACTACAGCGAAGAACACCTGGGAAGGAACACACCGGACAAGTTGGAAAATAAAACAGACCTTTATTAGTCTGGCCAGACGGCACTCCCAAAGCAAAATAGCTTAGAGAGGCAGCTAGCTCAGAGTCTGAGGCTGTTTTTATAGGGGGTTGAGGGGGAAGTTAACATAGAATTAAAGAAAAGGGGACAAAGGTTAGTGGTCGACTGTCGCGTATTGATGGTCAGCAGACATTTGCAGCTTGTTCTAAAAATTGTGGTGCCCGGAACATCAGTTTCCAGCAAACAAGGAGTTGAGTAGTTTACTTTGGGACTTTAGGTCTGTTACAGATTTTTATCTAGTGTCCCAAAACTAACAAGCATCTTTATCCATTAACTCACATTTAATCACAATGGGGCTGGAGAAAAGGAACAAAGGTTATGCAGTCCCACAGATGTCAGATCTAGCTAACCTATCAAAATTCTGCTTGAGTTCTCCCAAGAAGAATTGCAGATAGTGTAGCACACAACCTGAATTGGAGATACTGATTGGGCACACAACCTGAATCTGTGATTGACAGGTCATACCCACTTGCTCAGCCAGGTGGCCATACCCTAATCTCCTGCCTCACTATTGTTATCTCCATTTACAAATGTGCAAACCACAGAGAGGTTATATAATTTCTCCAAAGTCACACCAGCAGTTTGGCTTCAGGGCCTGGATTTCTAATCATTTCTCTTCTTTTTCACAGAAGAAATACTTGAGAGATAAATAATATACATATGAACCAAATATATGTATATATAGGATATAATATATATATTATATATATATGGCGTATAATATACGTATTATATATATGACATAAAATAAGGTGATGAGCACATCCAGCTCAGAGTGGTGGTGCGTGCCTGTAATCCCAGCACTCAGGAGGCTGAGCTGGGAGGATCACTGTGAGCTTGAGGCCAGCCTGGGCTACATAGTGAGTTTAAGGCTGGCCTGGAGTACATAGTGGGACTGTATCACAAAAATTAAAATTAAAAAAAAAAAAAATCCAGTAGCCAAATAGAATGTGTAAGGCTGAGATGTAGCATGGTGATAGAGCCCTTGCCTACCATGTGTGAGGACCTAGATTCCATCCCTAGCATTGCCAAAAAAAAAAAAGACCCATTGATCTCACTATGTTCGTAGGTGTTTTTCTGATGGCCCCAAATCAAAAACAAATTTTGTTCTTCAAGTGGTTGAACAGATAAACATATTTTAATACATTCATTCCATTAAATGGTACTCAGCAATAATGGAGAAAGCATTCCTTTTATTTGCTTGCTTATTTGTTTTGAGACAGGGTCTTGGTACTCAATTCATGCTGGCCTTGAACTTATCCTCCTCCCTCAATCTCCCAAGTGCTGGGATTACAGGCATTCTCCACTGTGCCAGGAGGGACGGAATTCTTGATAGGCACAGTGACGTGGATGAATTGCAAGTGTATTCCATAAGGGGTGAAAGAAGTTGGTTTTATAAGACTCCAAACTGTCTGATTCCATTTGCAGCATCCTGGGAAGGGTAAATCTAATCTATAGTGACAGAGAATAGATTAGTTGTTGCCTGAGGCTGGCTACAGAGGGAGGATTCAGTGCACAGGGACTAGAGGGAACTGTGTGGGTGACAGAAACATTCTTTCTTTTGGGGGTACTAGGAATAGAACCCAGCACTCTATGCAAGCACTCTACCACTAAGCCACATCCCTTGCCAAATGTTCTGTATCTTTTCTTTTTTCCTGAAGTACTGAGGGTTGAACCCAAGACCTTCACACTGAGCTACATCCCAGCCCTTTTTAATTTTTTTATTTCAAGGCATAGTCTTGTTAAGTCACTAAGTTTCCCAGGCTGGGCTCAAACTTGCAATCTTCCTGCCTCAGCCTCCCAGTGTGCTGGGATTACAGGTGTGCACCACCAAGCTGGGCTTGTTCTGTATCTTGATAGTGGTAGTAATTTTGTGGGCATGTTCATCTGTCAAAACTCATCAAAGCATGCCCTTTAAAAGGGTACAGGTAATTGTATTTAGTTATATCCCAACAGTTATATTTAAAAGGAAGTTAAAAGTGCAATGGAATAAAATACAGACTTTAGTTACTAATAATATATCATACTGGCTCATTAATTATAACAATTGTGCTATACTCATACAAGATTTTAATAATAGGGGAAGCTGGTCAGTGGGCCTTGTGGGGACTCTACTCTGCAATTTTTCTGTAAAACTATTCTAAAACATAAAAGTTTATTTTTTTTAAATGGGGAAAAAACTCGGGTTTCTCTTCAGATTGTATAAATCTTTCTCCTTTTAAAATGGGGGAAAATGCAATGGATAGATGACTTTATGCCCATGTTCATTTCAGCAGGCAGGAAAAACAGGTCTTGCCCACCCACGTCACATGACAGGATTCTGGTTTTTCAGCGTGGCCTCCAGCAGCCTCTCTCAGCGCTGCCTCCCAGGAGCCTCTGGGCCTCAGGCTGTGCACACTCAGAGCAGGTGTGGCAATCGCTCCTGCATGCTTCCCTCCCTCCCACTCAGCTATGGGAGCTCCCGAGGGCCCGGCCTTTATCTGATTCACCTAAATCACTGTCATTCCTTTTCTTTGCAGTGCGCACCCTCAGTGCTAGGGCCCTTGCCTCCTCAGCATTGTGGCCACATCTATCACTTCCTCCCCCAGCCCCTGGTGTGTGATGACTGGGCCACCAGAAGCTATCTGTAAAGACCCCCTTATGGCTGGGGAGCTCCCGTTCTGATGGAGGAGACAAAGACTAAATAAACACATTAAACCTGTGTCTGCACAGTGGGTCCCAAGATCTAAGTGTTCTAGAAAAAAAAAAAAAGTCAGGGAAGAGGGATGGGAGGTACTGTGGACTGCTTCTCTCTCTCTCTCTCTCTCTCTCTCTCTGGTATTATGGGTTGAACCAGGGCCTTCACACTGAGCTACACCCTAGCCCTTTCTAATTTTTATTCTGAGACAGGGTCTCCCTAAATCACTAAATTACCCATACTGGGCTCAAACTTGGGATCCTGCCTCAGCCTCCCAGAGCACTAGGATTACAGGCTAGGATTTTGCAGTGCTGGGCATGGAATCCAGGGCCTCCCACAAATGAGACAGGTGCTCTGCCACTGAGCTACATCCTGAGCCTGGGGCTGTTTCAAACTAGCTTATGAGGAAGGCTACACAGAGAAGGTGACACTGAGCAAAGACCTGAGGAAGGGAGCCAGGAGGATACCTGGGACCAATGTCCTGGAGGGGTGGAGGGCTTGGTTGGTACAAGGGGTAGGGGGTGCCAGATACAGGGGCTGGTGCGGCTGAGCATGGGGTGCAGGAGGGAGTGAGGGATGAGGGTGGGGAGGTGGAGGGGGTTCTGTGGCCACAGAGAGGCTCTGAGCAGGCTGAGCACGGGGAGCAGGCTGTCACGCAGGGAGGGAGCAGGGGACCAAGCTGGGGTGGCTGGACAAGGGGGTGTCAAGCTTTAGGAGGGCGAGGCAGAGCAGTTCCGGGTGGACTTTAAAGCCTAGCACAGAGTTTACCAGCTGATTGGCTGGGGGCATGAGAGAAAAAGAGACAAAGACGGACAGCAAGCCTTCTGATGTCATTTAATCCTGAGACAATGCGCAAAGCATTATCATTCTTATGTTACAGATGAGGAAATGGGTTCCCGCTGGGAGTGGGCTGGTGACCTGCCCTGGGGTGGAGCAGAGCTGGGAGGCCTTTGTGTTCTGTAGACTCCACCCTGTCCTGTCCCCCGCCCCACCTGGGGGCAACGGTCCTGCAGTGACTCTCCAGTTTAGGACCTCACAGCCCTGGTCTGTCCCTCCGTGGCATCCCCTCACTGTGGGTCACCTGGGTTGGGTGGCCTGGTGTCCCCAGTGTCGCCTGGCCAGAGCCCGGCCCAAGGCTGACCTGCAACTAGGTAACAAATACTTATAAAGTGTCTACCTACAAGATGCCGGGCCAGCCCTCCAGTGAGCCACCATCCTGGCCTGATAAGGGGCCTGGGAGGTGCTGGTGGAAGTGACAGACTCAGATATGAACAAAAAGTCCCTGGTCACAGACCTCCAGTGCAGGAGGAAGATGGACAGCACATAAATGAAATCAGAGAGGGCACTATGAATTGAAAGCAGGGGGCGCAGATTGTGAGGGAGCCTGTTTTAGCTGAGGTCACCAGGGAGGCTTGAGGGGGGCCACTGGGGATTTGGCCTGTGGCTCCACAGTGACCAGGCTTGATGCTTTCCAGAAATTCCCTGAAGGCTGGTAAGCCTCGGGCGGGCAGAGTAAGGTGCTGAGATTAAGACTGGAAGAGCCTGAAATTACTCAGCACAAAGCAGGACAGGCTGTGAGGTTGTCCTGCAGGGCTGGGAACCCATTGCCAGCAGCCCAAAGCCCTAAGGAGCCAGAAGCCTGCTGGAGTCGGATCGCATTCTTCATCAGCTTGGGGGGCCACTCTGTGGCTCCACCTAAATCCCTCACTGTGGCCCACAAGGTTCCACATGATCCGTCACCTCCTTGTCCTCACCCCCCAGTCCCTTTGCTCCTGCTGCATTGGCCTCCTAGCCAATATCCTAACAGGGCAGGCCTGTCTCTGTGTCAGGGCCTTTGCACAGCTCTTCCTCTGCCTTGAATGCTCTTCCCTCAGGTGTCAGCCCACCTGTCTCCTCCCTCATCTCCTTGAGATCAAATGTCACCTCTCAGTGAGGTCTCCCTGACACTGTCCCCCTCCCCATCTCTCTTCCCTCCCTTTTCTGAACATTCATCAGTCTGTAACCTTATTTATAGTGTTTCCTGTCCACTTCCCTGGTTCCAATGTCCACCACAAGGGCAGAGAGCTGTCTTGTTCAGGGCTGTCTTCCTACAACTGAGAACAGGGCCCAGCACATAGCAGATGCTCAATAAATAATGGTTGAATAAATAAAAAGAGGAAGAGAAGGAAACAAAGGAAGGAAGAAAAGAGGGAAGAAATTGACAGGTCTGTGAGCTCCTGAGACCCATCAGTTCCTCAGTCAGGATTCGGAAATGTTAATATGTCCCCTCTTTATCTCCCTTCTTCCCACAGAAGAGAGCACTGGCTGGGAAACTGAGGCACAAAGGGATACTGGGTAGCTCTTTCTGGGCCAGGGAGGCAGGAGCCAGGCTTGAGTGACAGAGGGCCCGGACAGGAAGAAAAGGCCGCCAACACCACCTGCTGGGAAGTGATGGCATGACAGCTGTGCCCACCCTGCTGACTTGGGGCTGGTGATGCCCCTCACTGGGTGGGCACCAGGTGCGGGGAGGTGGCTCAGGGGCATGGCTGGCAGATGTGTAAGTGCACAGGGCTGCAAGCCTCTTTATTCCGAGGCACATGGGTACCCTGCCCAGTCGGTGGTAGGCAGGAGGGTGCATACCTACATACCTACCCTCCCTCCACAGCCAGCTAGGACTCCCATGTGTCTGGAGGAGAGAGCTGCCCTCCCTCAGGCTGCATGCACCCCTCATGAGGCCTCTAGAGAGCAGGGAGCGGGCCCTCCCTGACTCCCCACCCAGGCCAGGGCCAATGGTCCAGTCACTCCAGCCAAGGTGGCAAGGCTTGGTCCTGATTAGAGAAACCCGCGTCCCTAGAGATACATCATCCGGCCATGCAGAGGCCTCACCAACCAGAAATCATCCACAATCTTTCCATCCTGTGAGAAATAAAAACAAGGGAGGCAGTGAGGCCCGAAAGCCCAGATTCTGGGCCTAAGTGACCTGGGTTCAAATCCTATCTCTGCCTCTGATGAGCTGTATGACCTTGGGCAAGTCCCTATACCTCTCTGAGCCTCAGTTTTCCTTAGCTGAAGAGTGGAGATGATAATGATAGTTGCTGTGGGAATTAAATGAGATAATATGTATCCAGGGCTTACAGGGGAGCCCAGTACATAGTGACACTGCTGAGTGTGGGCTATCATCAAAAAAAGCACACATCTTGGCTTGGGTTCCAGCACAGAAACTGTCTGTGGCCTTAAGCACGCAATTCTCTGAGCCCAAGCTCTGTGTTGCACACAATGGGGAGAGGAGAGGACCATGGAGCAGAACAGGCCATGGTGGGGACAGAAGGATGGAAGGCTGGGCATGATGTGAGTCTCCATAAATGGTAGTGGTCTGCACTGGAAATGGGGTCTTCAGGCTCAGATCCCAGCTCTGCCAGCCTCCAGCTGTGTGGCCTTGGCAAAATGATTTCCCTTCTCTGAGCAACAGTTCCCTCCCCTGTGAAATTCCTCCCCAGGAGATTGTTGTGGTGACTCAAGTGCTACAGAACAGAGCCTCTCGCTAGTGCCTGGTACACAGCAGGCACTCAATAAATCATCACTTTCTCATTATTTTAAAAACCACAAAGAAGAGTGAGCCATTCACTATGGGGCTCCACCTAACACGTGTCATATTGTCTGGCCTCTGCTTGCCTCCCACCACCCACCTTCTTCCTCCTCTACCTGCCAGGAGAAAGAACTGCTGAACCTAGCGCTTCCACACTGTTCCAACCATGCCTTATACATGGGGGTGGTCCAAAAGCACAGTGCATGTTTAAATAAAAAAAACATTACAAGCTCCGTATGGCGGCACATGCCTGTAATCCCAGCACATGGGAAGCTGAGGCAGGAGGATTGCCATGAGTTCAAGGCCAGCCTGGGCTACCTAGTGAGTTTGAGACTCTGTCTCAAAAAAAAAAAAATTACAGTAAAAGACACATTGCTGTACTCACCTCGGCAGCACATATACTAAAAGACACATTGCCATGAATCCCCTCAAAATCCTCCCCCTCTCTTCAAAGACACTTGTCCCATCATTCTTGCCACTTTTGTAAGCAGCTCTGGAAGACTTTCATGTCTTAACAAGGTGTGATTAAAAATACAGTGAATGCTGCTGCCGTGTGTCATCCAGCAGGAAGGGAGGCTCATAAAAATATTATGTTGTGTCCTCATCCACCTTGTTTACTCAATCTGGTATTCATGTGACTTCTGGCCCTGCCCCACAGTCAAAATGACCAAGAAAGGTAAAGTTTGTGAATAGATTTAGGAATTCAGGCAGCTCCAACAATGCAATTAAAGATAGTTATGCTTTAGAAAGTGGTAAGAATGATGGGATAGCCAGGTTTGGTGGTGCACACCTATGATCCCGGCACTTGAGAGGCTGAGGCAGGAGGACTGCTGCAAGTTCAAGGTCAGCCTGGGCTACATAGTGAGTTCAAGGCCAGCCTAAACTACAGGGTGAGACTCTGTCTCAAAAAGCCAAAAAAAGAACAATAAAAAGAACGATGGGATAAGTGTGTTCAAAGCAAAGGAGTATTTTTAGAGGAATTAATTAATGGCAATGTATCTTTTATTGTAATACATTAAAAACAAGAAACAAGGGCCGGGGATTTAGCTCAGTTGTTCCGCCACCTGCCTTGCAAGCACAAGGACCCGAGTTCGATCCCCAGTACCAAAAAAAAAAAAAAAAGAAACAAAACAAAACAAAAAATACTAAACATTCACCATTTTTTTTTTTGGTACCGGGGATCCAACTGGGGTCCTTGGGCTTGCAAGAGGCAGGCAGCGGAACTACTGAGCTAAATCCCTGGCCCCATTCACCATATTTTTGATCACACTTCATAAGTCATCCAACACATGTATAATTCAATGTATAATTCTGCAAGGTAAAAATTATCATCATCCCAGGCCAGGGATTTAGCTTAGTGGTTCTGCTGCCTGCCTAGCAAGCACAAGGTCCTGAGTTCAATCCCTGGTATCAAAAAAAAAAAAAAAAATTATCATCACCCCCATTTTATAGATGGAAAAACTGAGGCTCAAACAGGTTGCATAAGTTGCTCACAGTCATGCAGTTCAGGTAGGTACTAGAGGCAGGATCTGAACCTGGGGTTTCTAACTCTAGGGTCCCAGGTTTTATTGTTTATTTATTATTTATGATTGCTTCCAAGAAGGCTTAGGCCACTCAGCTCCAGCTCATTCTGGGCCTGGCTGCACAGTCAGGTGCCCCAGGATGCCCCCACTGACCTGGTCATCGGACACTTGCTGGATGTGGATGTGGGTGCCGTTGAGGATGTGCATCCGAGTGTACCCGTACTCCTTAACGCGCACGGCACTCCAGGGCCTCGGCCTGATGACAAAGGGGGTCAGACGCTCCTCACAGCCCTGTGGGGAGACTTAGTCACACCCAGCAGTGGAGCGGATGGGGGACCCAAAGTAAACAGAAATGACCTCCCAGGCTGGGACCCTGCTGCCCCCCAGAAAGACAAATTCAGCTGGCCACAGTGGTGCATACCTACAATCCTCACTCTGGGAGGCTGAGGCAGGAGGATCACAGCCTGGGCAATTTAGGAAGACCCTGTCTCTAACATAAGAATGAAAAAGGCTGAGGATTTAGCTCAGTGACACCATGCCTGCCTTGCAAGCACAAGGTCCTCAGTTTGATCCCTGGTATGGGGTTGGGGGGAAGAAATGAAAAGGGCTGGGAATTAACTCAGTGGGAAGGCCCTGGGTTCCATCCTGAGCACTACCAAAATGAAAAAAAAGTCACCACTTTTCACCTGGGATTGTAACAAGTGAATGAGGCTTACCAAGGGTTTCATCCACAGGTGACAAGAGCAGTGGGGACAATTTGAGAAATAACAGCACATTTGCATAGTTTCAAAGTGCATCTCCAGTTCTTGTGAATTACTGATGAATTACAAAGGAAACAAGAGTAGCTTCATGGTGGGAAGGCCTGGCTGCCTTACCCAAGCAACCCAGTTCCACACTGTCAGCACTGGGTCAGATCCAATGGTAGACTTGGAGCTGGGAAACAGCAAACTCCAAGAAGTTCAAGAGGTGTCCTAAGTCTCCTGGATGGACACACCAAGGACACGGGTTCACTTTTGTAACCAGAAATGTGCAACTTCAGTCCAGTCACAAGCAAACATCAGACAGACCCGGACTGAGGGACATTCATTCTATAAGATGACTTGGCAACAAGCTCTTCTTCGAAGTTGTCAAGGTCATGAGAAACAGACAGTGAGAAATTGCTTGATTAAAGAAAGCAAAAGAGATAAAATACCTAAATACAGCATTAATCCTGGACTAGCTCCGGGCTAGGGGAAAAAAAATCTTTGGTTTGATTTACAGGACATTAATGGGAGGCTTGGCTAGTTTGAATAAGGTCTGTAGATTAGATAATAGTGTATTATCAATGTGAACTACTTGAATTTGATCATTATTTCCCAGTGATATGTGAGTCTTCTTTTTTTGGAAGAAATACAGAGGGGTAAAGGACATCATGTTTACAATTTACTTTTTTTTTTTTTTACAATTTACTCTTGATTGGATCTAAAAATATGAATAAAATGGAGAGGGAAAGAGGTGAAAACAAATGTGTTTAAATGTTTAAATTTGAGAAATTTTGGTGAAGGGCATAGGGAACATCTTTGTGTTATTTCTGCAGCTTTTCTGTAAGTCTAAAATAACTTCAGAATTTGAACTGAAGGAAAACCCCAATCCACACTGAGAAAGGTGAGGAGAGAGATCAGAGACCGAGAAGGAGGCCGAGGGGCCACTACGGGCTGTCAGGTTGCTGCTCCAGGTGGTGGCCACACAGGTATGTCTGATACCAGGGTCCCACCCTCAGAGACTGTTGGCTTTGGTCTGGGACGGGGCCGGATGTGGAGTTTTGAAAGCTCCCAAGAGATCCCGTCAGGCACCAAGGGTGAGCACAATGGGGTATGAAGCCGATCCAAGTCATGTTTGCAAAGTGGGCGATCAGTTAACACCTCTCCATCTAAACAATGGCTCATTATTTCTGTATATACAGAAAACATTTTTAAATACCAGCCAAGAGGGGCCAGGGATTTAGCTCAGTGGTTCCATCGCCTGCCTCGCAAACGCAAGGACCCAAGTTCGATCCCTGGTACCACAAAAAAACAAAGCAAAACAAAACAAAAAAAGGTTATTAAATACCAGCCAAGAGACACAGCAGCTCAGGGAAGGACTAAGAAGGGCTGCTCACCGCCTGCCTACTGGCTGTTTGAGTTTTGATTGTGAGTGATTCTCACTTTGATCTTCAGACTTTTTAAAAAAAAGCTCTCTCTCCTTGGAGAAGAAGCTGAATCCAGAACCAAGCAGGAAAAACATAAGACGACCTGGGGGGCTTTGGAGTGCAGTAAGGAAGGAAGGGAAGGGAGGATGACAGGGACAGAAGGGGACAGGAGCCAACATGAGGGAGCTCCCCAAGGCCAGAGCTGGAGCAGTTTCAGCATCCAAATAAATAACAAGAGGATGGGACGATAAGCCACAGGATACCACAAATTACTCCTGAGTCCATACTGACATAAATAATGAATTAAACAACTAAATGAATGGGACAGAGAGATAACTCTTCCTAATGGGAAGATCCCAATTAATAAATTTGGGAAGAATGAAGAGAATAAAAAAACCCCTCATTATAACACTTTTAGATGGTCTCAAAGTATTTTCCCCGAGATTCCTCTATCCCCGTACTGAGGATTGAACCCAAGCCTCCCTCTGAGCTATAGCCCCCAGCCCTCCCTTTTTAAAATTTATTTATTTATTTATTTATTTATTTATTTATTTGGGGGGAGCGGGGGGGACAGTGCCCTGCTAAGTTGCCCAAGCTGCTCTTTTTTTTTTTTTTCCAAGCTGGTCTTGAACTTGCAATCCTCCTGCCTCATCCTCTTGTGTAGCTGGGATTGCAGGTGTGCACCATTGTGCCTGGCTCCCCCAGGACATGTAATGAAAAAGGAGCTCTAGTGACTATGGTGGCTTTGAGTAAACAGTGATTCCTGTTGGAACCTCTGTCAGATGGCCACACTACCAGCAGTACCAGCTTCGGGCCGAGGGGTAGGTGAGGCCCACTGTATAAAGGTACCCAGGCTGGTACAAGGTCTGTCCTCAGGAGCCGGAGGGGAGGAGCAAAGGGTGGCCCTCCCAGTCCCCCTTGCTTACTGCAGACCCAGTGATGATGTGCACAGGACCTCGAGGGTGGGTGTAGGGCTGGTGCAGGCTGCCATTAAATACCTGAGCAGGGAGCAAGGGAGTGAGCACGTCCCGCCAGGCCACACTGATGTGGACCGCACGGACCCCACCCTCCTCACCTCACCTGGTAGTTGTAAATGGGCCACAGTCGTTCGTAGGAATGCTCATGAGCCCACACCTCCAGATCCACCCCTGGGACACAGAAAGTGGGGGTCAGGTCCCGAATGGGGGGCAATGGGGCAGAGTGCAGGGCCGGAGGCTCCCCCGGTCACTCACCGTGCTTGTAGAAGAGGTCCTCGAGCCCATACTTGCCCCCTAGGCCTCTGCGGACCTGGTGGGAGGAGCCAGGAGGTGAGGCTGACTCATGCTGACCCCCCAGCCCTGGCTTTCAGTGCCCTGGGGTGGGGTCCTCACCTTGCTCTCGTACTTTGTGCAGTCATCCAGGTCGGCATTGGAACAGTACATGGGCCGGTGACCCATGGTAATGATCCACGGCCTCGCTGCCCGGTTCCTATTGGCTTTCTAGAGGGAAGGGCCCGGAGTGAGGGGCCGTGGTGGGGAACAGAGATGTGGGGCGGAATGGGACCTCCACCCAGCATACCTGGAGGTCACTTTCCAGCCAGCGAAACTGTCTGTGAACCAGGTGGCGGCCATAGTGGAGAAAGAAGTAGACCTCGGTGGAAAAGGAGATGATGTGGGCCGGACCCAGATCCCAGCTGGAGGGGTCAGAGATGGGGTAGGGGTCAGAGATGGGGTCTCCTTTGCAGCTCCCACCCTTCAGGGGAGCAAGGCCAGCGCCCTCAGATTACCTGTACCACAGCCCTTCGTTGTTCCCTGGCATGCTGAAGCGAGCCTTGTAGTTAGAGAAGTTGCTGCAAACAGGAAGAGAAGAGTGGGGGTGAAGGCCTGGATTCTGCAGCCCTGCTCTGCCTCCTCACTGTCCCTGGGAGCCCAGCTCCCAGGCCACCCCTCGCTTCTCCTCTGGCTGCCGCAAAGAGACACTGCAGCAGGAGAGACTCAGGCGAGATGCTGCACGGATCCGGCCTCTGCCCACCCTTCGGCCCTGGTCCTCACTAGCGCTGCTCGTGATTCCCAGGGCAAGTCATATACGGCAGGCTGGCGGCCACGGGCTCGATGAGCTGCATGAACCTGTCCCCGACACGGGCATTGTCCTGATCCATGTTGTAGGCAAAGTCTCCTGGGGGCGGGGGACAGGGAGAGAGTGAGGCCCAGAGCCAGCTCTGCTTTCACCAGCATAGAGGGACCTGGTGGCTCACGGGCGAGAGCCATCGCCTCCTCCAATCCCTACCTCACACCATCCACATGTGCTCTGAGCCTCTGGCACTGGACCACTCAGGCGGTGCTGTCTGCCCCGCTCTGCTCAGCCCAGTCTCAGTCTCTATCTGCCTCACATCCCCTCCCAGACCCTCCACAACACGCAGCTTGGTGCTGCTTCTGTACCAGGCACAGCTCCAAAGATGTTACCTGCACCATCACCTACATCTTCAAAGTGCCCTCAGAGGAGGGCGTTATATTACTCCCATCCCAGAGGGGGAAACTGAGGCCCAGGGGTCACAGAGCTGGTGAAGATCTAGGAATCAAACCCAGGGAGCCTGATTCCTCACAGGCTCCTCATCTCCCGTACCCCATTCATTAACCTCTCAAGTAACAATGACAGCAATAACAGTAGCAACTAATGGATAAGTAGCACAACACGTCGTATTAACTTATTTGGTCATCACCACAGTCCTGTGACCTCTGACTAACCTTACCTTTAACAATAACAAGAGTAGTGATACACAGTGGAAATCAGTGCTCACAGCTAGAAGGGCTGGAGGAGGCTTTGTTTTTGTTCGTTTGTTTTTGATACTGGGGATAGAGCCTAGGGCCTTCTCACTGAGCTACATTCCAGCCCTTGTTATTTTTTATTGAGACAGGGTTTCTGTAAGTCACTAGGTTTTCCAGGCTGGGCTTGACCTCGCAATGCTGGTGCCTCAGCCTCCCAGAGTGCTGAGATTACAGGCCTGTGCCATAGCTCTGGCTTGGGAGCTGGGATTCCCTCCAGCAGTCTGGGCAACCAGAGAGCCCATCTCTGCTCAGTCTTATCTCCTGTCCCTGAGGCGGCCCCCGCAGGCCCCTGTCCTGGCTCGGAGCCCCACGCGTCCTGTGCACGGGAGCCGATGCCTCACCCACATGGAGAATGGCATCGTACATGCCCTGCTGGGTGTCCCTGCGCAGTCGAGGGAGAGCCTTCGCGTTGTCAGCCCCCATGTCCCCAAACACAGCCAGTCGGGGGCTCCAGTGAACCCCGTTCTTCAGGGCTCTGAAGCGGAACCGACGGCTCCAGCCCTGGGCACTGCCACAGCGATAAACTAAGGAAGAAGAGAGGTCACAGTCGGTGGAGGGCAGAAGGCACCCAGACCCCACCCCCCTTCCAGTCCCCGTGCACCTTCTCTTCCCTTGCTGGGGGGAATTGGTAGTGGTCGACCCTTACCAGCCCCCCCCCCCGCCCTGATGGACCAGCCCAGCTGGAGGCTCCGCCCAGGAAGCCCTGGGGCTCGGTGCTCACCATACTGGACCCCGGGCAGCAGCTTCCGCAGCGTCACCCGGTGGATGTAGAGCTTGCGCCGAAGGATGCCCCCGTCCACGAAGGTGGTGAGGGTGCCCTGCGCCCGGAGGGGCAGCGGCCCAGACAGCTGCATCCCAAACTGCACTTCTGAGCGGGCCGGGACCCACGTGGTCCAGGTCACGGTCATGGAGCCTGGCTCACCTGGGGACAAAGGGACAGGGAGGGGCTGGGCAAGGGGCCAGTGACAGTGACATGTCTTGGACACTTAGTAGCTAAGGACGAAAGTTCCGGAGCTGCCCACATTCAATCCCAGCATCTCCATTTCCAAGCTGTGCTTTCTTAGTTACTTGACCTCCCAAGCCTCAGTTTTCTTATCTGTAAAATGGAATAATTATATCATCTAGTCTCGAAAGTTATAATGAAGTTAGATGAGTAAGTATATAATCAACCCTTTGTGTCTTTGGGTTCCAATCCTTGTGGACCAAAAGTAATCAGAAAAATAATTGTATCTGTACTGCATGTGTATAGACATTTTTTTCTTATCTTTGGTCCTTAGAAAAGCACAGTATAGCCAGGGATGTAGCTCAGTGGCGCCGTTCCTGTATGGCAAGTGCAAGGTCCTGAGTTCCGTTCACAGTCCCGGGGGGAGAAAAAAAAAAGCACAGTATAAGCCAAATGTGGTGACCTATGCCTACTATAATCCCAGCATTCTGGGAGGCTGAGGCAGGAAGATCCCAAATATGAGCCCAGCCTGGGCAATTTAGCTACTTAGTGAGATCTAGTCTCATAATAAATAAAAAAGGGCTGGGGATGTAGCTCATTCTGAATGCCCTGGGTTCAATCCCCAGTACTGCAACAACAGAAAACAAAAACCACACAGTATAACAACTACTTACATACCATTTACATTGTACTAGGTATCATAGGTAACCTGGAGATCATTAAAGTACCGAGGAGGGTGTGCATGTGTCATAAGCAGATACTGTGCCATTTTATATAAGGGACTCAGGCATGTGCAGGCTTCGGTACCCTCACAGGGTCCTGGAACCAATTCCCAGTGGATCCCCAGAGCTGCCTGTAAGAAAAGCATGATGCCTACTACAGTCGGGTTACATGGGTGAGCAGATGTCATTGTCACTGCCCTTTACTGTGTGCAAGCCTTGTGCCAACACTGCACACACATGATATCATTCAAGGGATGCCAGCGCAGGTGCCTGGAGGCCAGCTAGGGAATATCAGCAGGGACACAGGTGGCAAGAAGTCTAGAGCATGAGCAGACTGTAGAACCCACACTGTGTAAAAGGACAGTCATCCTGCAGCTCTGGTGCCAGGCGCCAGGCGGGACACTGGCTCAGTGCCACCAAACCTATCGACTTCCAGAGTAAATCTTCACATGGTGGTTTCTTTCTATCCCAGGAGCACATACTCTGCAGATAGATAATGCAAGTCCAGAGTTTTAGGAGATAGCTTCACATTCTTATGGTTAACAACCACAGCCCTAAAAAATACCACATGTTGTCAGATGTGGCGGTGCACGCCTAGAACCCCAGTACTCTGGGAGGTGAAGGGAGGAGAATCACAAGTGGGAGCACAGACTGGGCAAGACCCTGTCTCAAAATAAAAAATAAAAATGGGGCTGGTGATCCAGCTCAGGGTGAAAGCCCTGGGTTCAATCCTCAGTACCAGAAACAAAAAACTACATGGTATATAATGTTAAGGGCTGAGTGCTTTCTCTAGCAATATGAAAATGCAGATGGGCAAAGATATTCATAGAAGCACTGATTGTAATTGCAAAATTCTGGGAACAACCTAAATGCCCAAAGATAGCAAAGTGAGTAAACACCATCCATGCAAGGATTTAAAAATGAATGAAGACAGGTCTAGGAATTGCTACACTGATTTCCAGGACATATTGTTAAATCAAAAGAAAGCTAAGTGTCTGGGGATGGTGCACACAGTAATCTCAGTCCTCTAGGAGGCTGAGGCAGGAGGGTCACAAACTCAAGCCCAGCCTGAGAAATTTAGCAAAACCCTGTCTCAAATAAGGGGGTGGGGGTGGGGATGTAGCTCAGTGCAACTTGACATGCAAAAGACTCTGGGTTCCACCCCCAATATTGAGGGGAGGTGCCAGCAAAGTGCTACCCTTAACGTAAGGAAATATAAGAAAATATGGATCCCTGAGGCATGAGTATGCAAGTTTGAGTCCAGCCTGGGCAATTCAGTGTGTTAGCAAGACCTTGTCTCAAAATTTTTAAAAGGGCTATGAGTGCAGCTCAGTGAAAAGGATGTAATCCTGAGGAGAGAGAGAGAGAAGGGAAGGGAGGGGAAGGGAAAGGAAGAGAAGGGAAGAGAAGGAAAGGGAAGGGAAGGGGAAAAGGAAATATTCAGGTGAATGCTCATTTCTGCAAAACGATACACCAGGAAGGAAACAGATGGATTACGTGCAGGTCATGTGTGGGGAAATGGGGTAAGAAGATGGTGGAATAGGATAGATGGCTGTGATGAGGCGACATTTCTCAGAGGAAATCTCCATTAATTCAGGCTCCCAGAATTATAGTTACATTTGAATTTCCTTACACACTCCAAAAAAGAAAAAAAAAAAAACCACCCGGGACAGAGAAGGCACCCAAAATGGAATATAAACACGAGCACAGGGACCAACTGTATTAAAAATGAATAACACAAGCACCCTGAAGTGAAGGGAGTGAGGAAGACAGGTCACTGTGGGAAACAGAGTCCTTGCTGGGCACTGTGAGGCCTAAGCACACAAAGCACTGTGCGTCCGTCCGCGCTGTGATCATTGTGTTATGCTCCTCACGGGGACGTGGGCTGACGGCTCAGAAGCTGTACACACAGGGAACTGAACAAGGGAGTGAGTGTATCAGAGAGGGCAACAGGTTTCTCAGGGTTGAAGAAAGGTTTCAAAGGAGGAAAGAGAAGGGAGTAAAAATGATCAAGAGGATATGTACCAATTCCCCAAGACAAACAATTAATATGCATCATAAACGTATACTAATAAAGAAAGAAAAACAAGGAAAGTGGAAGGCTAACATAAACCACTAGGGTTGTCAGAGGTATCAACGTGACCGCATAGTATTTAATACCACACAGATGTGTGGGTACAGGAATACAGATGTGTGGACCTGCACGCTAGGACATGTGCAGATTGCCTTGGTCTGTGCGCTGAGAAGAACCAGCAGCAATTGTCATTCCACTAGCAAAGAGCTTACTGAGTGCTCAGATCTTGGTTTCTAAAGACCCATTCAGCCAGGTGTGGTGACACACGTCTGTAATTCCAGCACTTGGGATGCTGAGGCAGGAGGATTGCCGTGAGTTCGAGGCCAGCCTGGGGTACATAGTGAGTTCAAGGCCAGCCTGAACTACACAGCAAGACCCTGTCTCAAAAAATAAGAAAACGACCCATTCTCCAATGGAAGGAACTCAGACTAAGTGGAGACATAAGTGATTCTAGGGCTAGGGCAGAATATAATTTATGGTGTCAGAAAGTGTGGGAGTGCTCCAAAATGATGTGTGGTTGCTGAAAGAATATGGAAGCCAATCTGAAGAAATTCCAAGAGATCAAATCTGGGGCTGCATGAGCAGCAGAATAAATAACAACAGTATTGGATTTTTGCCCATGGAATAAAGGAAATAGCCATGAGTCCATGATATAAATTAGTAATTGAATAATTAAATAGATGGAATAAGGAAGGACAGCTCTTCCTTATATTACAATTTTAATTAGATGGAAAGAGGGAATTATATGAAAGGGAACGAGAAAATTAAAACATCACAATTAGACAAATACCACACTACTAATTATTGTAGATGGGATCCACTCTTGTCTACAATAATTATATACAAAAATTAGTGGGTGAACATTGGTTGGAGAAGCAGGATTTACTCAGTCTTGAGCAATCTCCCTCTGGCTATTTATTAACCACAAAGGAAAGAACAATAACTTCATAATGGAGAAACCCAGCAGGCATCTCCTGAGCCAGCCAGTCAAGGTTCATACCACCTGTAGCAATAACAAGCCACATCCACCCCAGAGAACCTCTGGTGTCACCACTGAGAACCACACAATCGCACCCCAAAATACGGAACTTAATTCCAGTCATGAGACAATATTGGAAAATCCCAGTGAAGTTCAGCAAACCCCAAATGAGGAATATTTTACATAATAAGCCATCAGTACTCAAAAATAACAAGATCACAAAAGATAAAGAGTTCAAAGTGACAGGGTAGAGGACACTAAGGGGACACAGCCACTAAATGCAACACAAGACCCTGGATTGGATCCCGCAAAAGAAAAGGCTGAGACAGGAGGATCCCAAGTTTGGGCTCAGCCTGGGCAACTTAGTAAGATCTTGTCTCAAAACACAAAAGGGCTGGCAATGTAGCTCAGTGCAAAGGCTCTCAATTCAATCTCCAGGGCATAAAATAAAATGAAATAAAAACAAAAAGCAGATGTTATTGGAAATACTGGTAAAACATGAATGAGGTCTGTAGTTTAATCAATAATACTCCATATTGATTTCCTCGTGGTTTTTGGACAGATCTCACTATGTTGCTCAGGGTGGCTTTAACTCCTAGGCTTAGGCAATTCTCCCACCTCAGTCTCCTCCATAGCTGGGGCAACAGGTGCACAGCACTGCACTCGGATGGATTTCTGGTTTTAGTGGTCATAACACAGTTATGTAAGGTGCTAACATTAAGAGACACTGAGTGAGGAAGAGATAAGAATTCTCTATAGTATTTTTGGAACTCTTCTCTTGGTTCTAAAACTGACACAAATCCTCCACATGTAAAAACAATAAACATTTAAAGAGATGAAAATTCTGATTATCCTGATTTGATTCTTACCCATTGTGTACCTGTACTGATTCTCATAATGTACCCCACAGAGGCCCACAGAATGGTGTTTCAATTAAACAAAACTACACACTAATCAAGGTGCAGATTAAAAATCCTAAGTACAATGTTTAATATTACATTCAAAATAAATTCATTGAAAGTATAAATGCTATCGTGACCCTCCATGATGGCCCACTATGCATCTTCTGGACTGGGGTGTACTTTTATTTTGGTTTTTATCCATTCTTTTGTTCAGTCCAAGTTTGCTCTGCAGAGCCATTTTTCCCTCATTATTTCACCCCTCTAAATAAATAGATAGATAGATAGATAGATAGATAGATAGATAGATAGATAGATGTTGTGACTGCTCCATAAAAGAAAAGAACGTTGGTATGAAATTAAAAGCTTTAAAACAGCAATCGTGGGCTCTGCCTGCATTCAATTTCCAGGTTATGTGACTTGAGGCAAGATTCCTCACCTCTGTGAGCCTCAGTTTACTGTTTTGTAAAATGGGTGAACCATAGTACCCATGGCTTAAAATGAGGTTAAATGAGCTGTCTGTGGGAAGCAAGCAGGATGAGGATATCTGCTGTGAATTACTGTGAAGGCCCCAGAGGAACAGCTGTGGTGTCACAAGTCTCTACAGCAGCGCCAGAGTTGGGGTTCACTGTCTCACCCTGGTGCAGAGATCCCCAAGCAAAGCACATGTCCAGCATGACCTGGCCAGCAAATGCCACACCACTTCATTCACGTGGTCCTGATTTCCACTGCAACTGGACTTTCAGAAATTACCTTCTTAAGCAGTGCTGTAAGCTCAGCACTGTGGGAGGCTGAGGCAGGAGGATCACAAATTGGAGCTCAGCCTGGGCAACTTAGTAAGACTTTGTCTCAAAACAAAAAAGGGTTGGCAATGTAGCTCAGTGCAAAGTTTCTGGATTAAATCCCCAGTACTCCAAAAACAACAACAACCGAAACACAAAACTACTGTCTTTAAAAGTGTCAAGGGGTCGTTTGTGATGGTGCACACCTGTAGTACCCATTACTCAGGAAACCAAGGCAAGAGAACTGCTTGTGCCCAGGAATTTGAGGCCAGTCTGGGCCACATAGCGAGATCTCCACCTCAAAAAAATGTCAAGGACATGAGAACCAAGGGATTACAGTCATGGAGAGAAGAGACCAGACACTAAACACAACACAGCCTTCTAAATTAGAATAAAGACATTAGCAAAAAAGTTGGTAAAATTTGAAATTTTCTTAATAACTTGCTATCCACGTTAATTTCTTAGCTTTGACTTTGGTACCATGGTTAGAAAAGAGATGTCCACCAGGGGAAGACAGATGGAGATTATACTATGGAAGCGGGGCCCCTTACCATCTTTGGAAGTAAAAATTAGTTCAAAATAAAAAGCTCGAAAAAACTGTACATTGAGTTTTGGTGTAGTGTCAAATTATCTGGAGCATTAAAGTCTTCCTCCCTGCTTCAGCTATGTATCTGTGTGAGTCAAGATTTTCTTCACCTACATTATCCAAAGCAACTTAACACAATAGAATGTAAGCAAATCGGGGGAGAATCCAGTTGTCTATTCAGACACCAAAGAGATCTATAAAGATGTAAGTAATGCCACAATCTTTACTTTCTTCTTTGGCAAAGTAGAGTTATTTTTAAATTTAAAATGGTATTTACGGTAAGCTGGGCACAGTGGTGCATAGCTGTTTTCCCAGCTACTTGGGAGGCTGAGGCAGGAAGATTGCTGCCTGGATCCCGACTCAAAACAAAACAAAACAATAAAATGTCATTTACATCCATCCAGAAGGGATTTCTTATTATGCATTTTAAGTGATTTAATACATATTTTGGAGTCTTTGTTTTCGCTTCTACCATGGTCAGTACTGGCAGATATCTCCAGAAACCGTCTCTTCGCAGTCCTGATAACTGTGGGAAGGGTTCTGAGACAAAAGCTGTGAGAATCTCTGCTGTGCACCAACCTCAGCCCTGCCACTGTGTGGGTGGTGACTCATGGGCTCCTCACTCCGAGGTCATGCTCCGGTAACCCCATTGTCCGGATGAGGAGTCTGAGGCCAGAGAGGTGAGCTCACTCGGCTGAGGTCACACAGCAGGTAAGCAGCAAAGCTGGGATTCGAGCCCAGGCAACCCAGACATAGAGGGTGCAGAGCCCAGGCCTTTACTCGGTGCTCCCCACCTCTTCACGAAGATGGAAGAGGCAGCCTTCAGGGAGGAGGAGCGGAGGGATGGAGCTCCGTCCTCTTTCATTCCCTGGTTTCTTCCACAGCTGATTTTCGGGCCAACTGCACACTAACACGCCAGCTCTCCCAGACCCAACAGTGACACGATAAACAAGCACAACAGCAGTCCCCTTTGGAGCCAGAGAGAGCTCATCATACTTTCCACATAGACACATGACTGTGTAACCCCATTTCACAGAAGCAGACAACTGAGGCTCAGGAAGAACAGACTGGCAGCCAGCCTGGGGTTCCACAGCAATCACTGTAGGGTTCCTGAGCCCCCAACCAATGAACCATCATGGAGCCTCCTCAGGGGAGGCCTCGAGAGGGGTCACAGACACTCACCTGGATAGGACAGATGGACGTGCTCTGGGACAGCGCTGGGATTCTCCAGGGCTGCCTGGACTGCCACGGAGAAAAGCAGGAGCAGACAGCAGCCAGAAAGAGGGTGCATGGTAGGGCAAAGGTGGGGGGCAGAGAGGGGGAGGGCAGGGCTGTGGAGTGGATCAGAGTCCAGGTTCCCTGGGAAGGGTGGAGTGGAGGGAGTTGGGCAGTGCTGTCTGCTGTCTGTCTGTCTGTAGATGGGGTGGGGAGATCTTCAGGGGGAGTGGTTGTCCAGCTGCTGGAGGGAGAAGATGACAGGGAGGGTGGTGAGGCCAGCGTGTGTGAGCACTTTGCATAGATTACTTCGGGCTCACCGCATTCCTGTGAGGTGGTGGCTGCCCTGATGGGCACCCTCCTGTCACAGATAGGAAACTGAGCAAGCAGGTAATTCAAGGGCCTGGCTAGGATGGCGTGGAGCTACAACTGAGCCCCCACAGGCCTGGCTCCCCAGCCCTGACCTTGACCCACAAAGAGATTTGGGAAAGGGGGCCTGGGGGCTAGGTCCTGGAGTTGCCTTTGGCAATGCCATTCCCAGCATTCCATCCTGCTCTTAGTGACCCGGGTTCTTCTGCCTTGCTCCCCAGATCCCCAGCATTGCATCCTTGCCGGCAGGGACCCCATCCCTCTGAATTCCATCCTCAGCCTTCCGCTGTGGTCGCAGTGACCCCCAGTTCCCTCAGTACATCCTCAGATCCCTCTGAAGTCCAGGCTGCGTGGAGCCGGCCCATCCCCTTCTCCCTCCCTCCCCGGACAGCCTCACCCCAGCCTTCTGCCCCAGTCTTCCCGGTCCTGTCCTCGCTCCAGCTGTGCACCCCCCTCCCCGCACTTGCTGCCCGCCCCTCTCCCCCTGCCGGCTCTGGGCGCGTCTCCAGCTCCCCCCAGACCTGCTGGGGTGCTGCGGGGCTGGAAGGCTGGCAGCTGGAGGGGGGGCGCCCTCGGGACCCCGGCTCACCGTCGGGGACGCCGGCCTCGCTTGCTCACGTCCCGGCCATGAGAGCCGCCGCAGAATTTATGTTTGCAGGCGCCGAGACTCCCGCCGCCCACAGCTGCCAATCCCGGAAGGGCAGGCTGCCTCGGGGTGACGGGCTCCCCAGACAGCCGGGCCCCCGGGTCCCACAGGTCGGGCCAGTCCCAGGCGCCCCACGCCCACCGGTCCGCCCCCCTCCCCAGGGTGGGGCGCAGGAAGGGGGACGCAGAGAGGCTGGGTGCTCGGCCGCCTCCACCTCCCCGCGGGACACCAGGTGAGCGAGCGCCGGGACAGGTAAGACTTCGCCGGCCCGCAGCTGCTGAGCCCCCAGGCTACGGACACCGGCGCCCGCCCCCAGCCCCAGGTGTGAGGGGAATTCCCATCCTTTCCACCGGGCGGCCTCATCATCCCTGGGCAGTCCTTCCTTCTTCCTTCCTTCTGGCAAATTTAATCCCAAACTCCTCCTCCTCAGCCCCCACCCCCCCACCCCGGGCCATCCTGAGAACACAAAAGCAAAATAACCGAAGGCCCCGCGGGCCCGGGCGGGTTACTCAGTCTCCCCGCATCCCTCTTTCTTACCTGTGAAACGTAAGAGCTCCGTGAGCTGTGGTGAGGATGACAAGAGTCGAGGCAAGAAATTTCCTGCTGCTTGGTCTCAAGTGAGGGGAGCTATCTTTATTATTATTAACTTGTGGGCTCCAGAAACTGCCCTGCAGCTGGGTGGGGCCAAATGGGAATCTTCCCCCAAAACCTACTGAGCTGTTCAGTGTTGAGGTGGCTGCCACTAAATATGTTTGGGGGCTCCCAGGTGGGCAGTAGAAAAGGTCTGGGGATCTCGATTTCCATGTGCTCCCCCTTCCTGTGTGCAGATACAATGACTACATGATTTGGCTTTGTAAACTGTTGGTTCTGCCAGTTGAAGGCACACCCAGTCAGAGATTGGCACTGGGGTGGAAGGGACTCGAGGTGAGCCTTTTGGACTATGTGGATTTTCCCCACCTTCCAGAGTCTCTGCTACAGCTTAAAAGACAGCAAAAAGCTCTCAGTCAAATTCAAGTACACTTAACCCATCACTACTGTGGCCATCATGATAATTTTACTTTTTTCTAGTAGTCTCCCAATATAGAGAGTTCTTAACTATTTTTGTGCTGAGGGCACCTGTGGTAAGGTGGGGAGGCCCTTCCCAGGGTCATGTTCTTACATGCATAAAATACACAGAATTACAAAAGAAACACCTGCTATTGAACTACATTCAGACAGATATTTTTAAAACAAATATGTGGTACAGTAATACATATGCTCCTTATTAATGCATTAAGCTGGAGTCTGGTGCCCGGTACAAAAGAATAATGATTGTCATGAAGATTTGAAAACATCTGTGATTTCTCCTTGTGACACGGCTGCTGATATCCCGTGGTCTGTTGGGCTTCTCATAATAGAAGGCTGTGCTAAATTTCAATTACAGGAGGAGTTCTTAAATGTTGCACTCTTAAAATGTTTGAGTTTTTGGGCCGGGGATTTAGCTCAGTGGTTCAGTTACCTGCCTTGAAAGCTCAAGGACCTGAGTTCAATCTCTGGTACCAAAAAAAAAAAATGGGTTGATGGAAAAAGTATGAGTTTTTTGTATATGTGGATTATGTCTCACTATTTACCATGTAGGAAAATAAAAGGGAGGTGTTTTTAAGAACACTCACAGATACGCTCCATTAGCCATTGGTGATGAGGTCAGTTTGGGTTCCAGAGCCTTTGGGGGTCAAAAGAACAAACGCATCTTAATATTCTTAGAGACCAGTATTGACCTTGTTAACCCTGGAAAAAGTCTTGGGCGATCCATAGGTTTTCGAGACCACATTTTGAGGACTCTTAAGTTTAAAGGTAATACAAGCAAAAGGGGCAAATAATTTTTCCCATCCAAGTTCAGGTAGCCCCCATTTTCCATCCACAATCCCAAATTAAATTAATTAATGCCCTGTTGAGATCTCCTGTGTTTGGGCCCTGATATCATAGATCAGGACTCACAGCTCATGTATTGTTTCCCCCTTGGGGAGGTGGACAGAGCCAGGTGGTCTGTTTTTAGACCACCTGAGGCAAGGGATTTCACCTCACTGTGCATTGGTTTCCCCTTCTGTTAAGTGAGGATGATAACAGTATCCCTTGGGGTTATTGGGAGGCTTACATTCAATAATAAATATAAACCACCAAGACCAGGCACCCGGCACATCCATCCTAATTGTCAATTATACTCCAGATTGTCTAGTCTGCACCCTTTGCAACACAGGAATGCAATAAGCCTACATTTCTAAATCATTTTAAAATTAAACTTCTGAAAATTCTGAAATTTGACAGACCTACAGAAAGGTACACATATTCACCTAGTGACTATGACAGGAGGACACAGCAGTGTAACCATTGCTCTCTCACCTCCTGTCCCCTCCCAGGCACTCCTTTCTCCCCCCCCACAAAGGGACCCACTTTACTGACTTTCATCCGACTTCGGTTTTACCACCTAGGGAACTGTGTACCTCCCGTGCACAGTGGTTTCCTTTTGCTTTTTTTTTTTAAACATATGATGCAAATAAAAATGTACAGTATTCAACACTTGTATCTGACTTCTTTTACTCAACATTATCATTGTGAAATTCATCTGGGTTGGGGAGATAAATGCACCCCATTCCTTCTCATTGCCAAGTAGTATTCCATGATGTATTTACACCATGATTTATTTATCTATTAACGGTCAATAGCAATTATTGGAGTCTCCCTCTGTCCCGTTTTTGGCTCTTTCAAATAGTGCTACTCTTGACCTTCTAGTACATATTTTGTTGATGAACATGTCTACACATTTCTCTTGAGTAGATGGGTCATATAGTATATAAATGTTCATCTTTACTGGATTCTACCAAAGTGTTTTCCAAAGTGGTTTCATAATTATTCTCCTCCCACCATCCATAGTAGAACATTTCCATTGTTCCAGATCCTCACCAGCATGTGACATTGTCAGGTGTTTCATTTTGAGTCACTCTGGTGGGTGTGTAGTAGTAGCTCATTGTAGTCTAATTTGCATTTTCCTGATGAGCAGTAAAATGGCATATCTTTTCATTTAGGCATTGGCCTTCTGGATGTCCCTTTTTTGGTGATTTGTTCAAGAATACATCTTGCTTGTCTTCTATGGGGCTGTCTATTTTTATTTTATTTTTATGTTTGGGGGGTTGTCCACTTTTAAATGCCTTTTATAGATTTGTCAGTTGCATGGACATGTTCTGTATGGCTTCATTTTCCACTCTTTGTAGAGTTTTTTTTTTTTTTAAGGAAAAAAGATCTTCACCTTAGCATAGTCTAATTTATCAGTCTTTTCTTTTATGGAGAGTGATTGTCTACATCTTGTTTAAGAAATATTTGTCTACTTCCAAAGAAGACTGACTGGTTTGGTTTTTTTTTTGGTACCGGGGATCGAACTCAGGTCCTTGCCCTTTCGAGGCAGGCGGTGGAACCACTGAGCTAAATCCCCAGCCCTAGACTGACTTTGTTGATGCTGTTTCTCAACAGCTTCATCATTTTGCATTCCACTTAGACTGGCGATCAATCTGGAACTGGTTTTTGTATATGATGTGAGGTAGAGATTTGAATTTTATCAAAGTAATGGGTAATGAAATAAAAATAAATGAGCCTCTTTCTTAAGAGACTTCATTTAAAAAAATACTTTTCCATTATGAAAGTAATATCTTGTTACTGAAAATTAGAAGGTAAAGCTGGAAAGGTGTAATGGCACCCGGAACTGACATTCTGGGTTTGAATCCTGTTCTGCTACTTCTTGGCTAGGTAACCTTGAGTGGGCATTTGACTTTACCCCCAGTGGCCCAGTGTCTAGAATGGGTATAGTAATGTTACCCTCAAAAATACTTGGAAAGATACAGCATATGCAATACACAGCAAGACACAAGGAAAGGGTTAAGTAAATAATAGCTGGAATTATTCATAACAGATTTTATTTATCAGTGGTTGCCCCTCCTTGGAGGTCTTTTTAAATTTTTTTTGTCATTTTTTTTTTTAATCAAACCCAGGGCTTTCCCACTGAGTACATTCCTAGCCCTTTTTAAAATTGTATTTTATTTGGGCCGGGGATTTAGCTTAGTGGCTCTGGCGCCTGCCTCGCAAGCGCAAGGTCCAGAGTTCAATCCCCGGTACAAAAAAAAAAAAAAATTATATTTTATTTTAAGGCAGAGTTTTGCTAAGTTGCCCAGGCTGGGCTCAAACTTGAGATCCTCCTGCCTCAGCCTCACAGAGGGCTGGGATCACAGACCTGTGCCACTGGGGCCTGCTGGAGCACTTTTTTCTTAGACATGGGGTTGGAGTTGAATCATGATCATACCATAGTCCAATATTATTTTTGCTGCGCTTTCCTAAGCATTCTCTCACATTGGCTCATGTTATCCTGATATCCCATTGTGTGGTTCACTTCACCCAATCTGAGAAAGGAGATGGCAGCAATGGGTAAAGAGCCAGGGCTTTGGAGTCAAATGGCCCAGGTTCAAATTCAACTCCAAACGTTTAGTAGCTATACAAGTTCTTTCCCTCTCTCTTCTCAATCTCCTCTTCTGTGTAATGGAGATAAATCTACCCTACTGCATACTTGAAATATTTTAGAGCCTTGAAGTAAGAATTAGATGAGTGAATGCATGGATGTCATGAACTAAGAACAGAGCAAAAAAAAAACATGTGGATCCAGGAATGGTTACGCAAAAATGTAAATCCTGGTTGTTCAGAAGGCTTTATTAAATAAAAATTTAACAAAGGGATTGGGATACAGCTTAGTGGTAGAGCACTTGCCTACCATGTATGTACAAGGCCAGGGGTTCAGTCCCCAGTAATGGGAGGAAACTAGCCCTTGGTATAAATTAAGTCCTTGAAAAGCTTAATAGAAATATTTCAGGATTTAAAAATTTATCATAACAAAATAAAATAGATTGTTGGATGGTTAGGAAAATAAGTAGGTGATAAAGAAAGAATAGTAAGATATTCATAATAGATTCTAGATGCTGTATATTTGTGTGTTCCTTGTAAAAATTTTCATTCTTCCTGTGTGTTTAAAAATGTTCCTGCCAAACATGATGGCACATGCCTGTAATCCCAGCACTCAGAGGCTGAGACAGGAGAATTGCCATGAGTCCAAGGCCGGCCTGGACTACATAATGAGACCTTTTCTCAAAATAAATAAATAAACTTTAAAAGAAAAGAAAATGTTCCAAATACAATGTTGGCAAAGCTAGGGCTGGGGATTTAGCTCAGTGGTTCCACCTCCTGCCTCGCAAGCAGAAGGTCTCAAGTTTGATCCTTGGTACCAAAAAAGAAAGAAAGAAAGAAGA